TTATTTATTCAGCTTTCAGATGATGTATAAATCTCAATTTTGAAAAATTGACCCTTATGACTGGTTTTGTGGTCCAGGGTCACAAATAACTTTTTTTTTAAGGATGTTTACATATTTTTTACTGGAAACCAAGACAAAAGCAATTAGACATTGATTTTTGCTCTGCTAATATGAAAAAGCACACTTTAATTGATATTTGTGGTAAAGATTTTGTTTATAAGAATTATCCATCATTTTCAGGCCCAGGCACTCACAAGTCATGAATCACATATATTCTTGTTGTTTTTATGTCTGAAGCACACATGATTGTGAGTTATTGTTGTTGTTGTGTTGCAGTGTCTGTCAAATTGAGCATACTTTATGAACAGTAACACCGTCATCAGCGGTTAAATAATTCATGCCTGGGTTTTTAACTTTTGTATTCATGAAGGACCATCAGTTTTGAAAAAAAGTGTGCTATTTTAACCATGTCCATCTGTATATTACTCAAATGTGCACAAAGAGACAGACTTTTTTATATGAACTCTGATGAAAATCGAGATGACGTGTAGTAACACAAGCTCCACTACACGTCTCAGATCAGTGTTTGTCGAAGATAATCGGTTTGCCGTGAATGTTCTTTATGCATTGTAAATAGCTGTATTGTTGGACGATTTCAAACCTGTAGCGAATGCCGCAAGGATGAAGTGCTGAAATGAGAAGGACAAAATAAGCCCTTTCTGAGCCTTTGCACAGAGGAAGAAAAGTCTCCTGCTGAAGACAAAGATGGCAGTGTTACGGAGAGGCCATTTTCGGTCCCTAAAGCGGTTTCCACAATGAACATCCGTATCTTTTTGGGATTAGGAACTAGTCTTCTGAACACTGTTGGACTGGAAAACTTTAAAACCTAAAAGCTCTCTCATTCTCAAGTGTGATTTATTGAAATGATGACAGTACAAAGATGTATTGTGACAAAAAAAGTGAACTGTGAAAAAAAGAATGAACTGTTTATGGTTTCATCTTGCTGTACAAAGTGAATCAGAGATTGCTTATTTACTTACTGACCATAATTACTGACTTGTATTGATTTGTGGTCTCTCTCTCTCTCTCTCTCTCTTCACCTCTGTATCTTTATCTTCAGTGCACAAATGTTGGCTGTGAGCTCTTGGTACCCTTTAAAACAGCCTTTGCATTATGAGTGTGTTAGCGGTGTCTGACTCAGAGCCCCTGCTGACTCACACATGTAGGCTGGTCGCACTGACACCAGCATGGAGTATGATATCTCCTCTATGCATTATGGACTCGAATGCGAAATGACCCACATTCCTAATGTGCTGAGGAACTCGAGGGTGTACTGTATAGAACTGTTCATTGCAACGTTAATTGCCAAAACATTGTTATTTGCCAAATAATTTACTGTAGATGTCTGTTGAAGCTGAAAATAAAAATACGTTCACAGAACATTTTGCTTCACATCTTGATTTCAAGTGTAGAAAAAAAACATCTTACTCACCCATACATTGTTACATTTTTCCAAAACTATATATTTGCCATTACATGAACCCATGTTTCATTGTGATTAAGACATACATACATAAGTACATACAGTATAATATGTACTATGTAAAGTTATTTATATGTAAATGTATTCTCTGGCTCTGAAATCAGTGCAACTCAAAATTAAAAATGTAACTATAAAAGAAAAAAGTGAGATAAACACATTTGCTAAAGCAACCATGTCATTTTAGCTTTAGTCTATGAGCTGTTTGGCGTGTTTCACTGAACTCGTACCAGGTGGGCTACCGAGCAGGTTTACTGTCTTGGAAAAGCCATACATATGTGGCTGGTTATGTGATGCAAACAATAAGGGCCAGATTTACTAACAGCTTGCACCAGCGCAAACAGTCTTTTGGCGTTAAAATAGTACGGTCAGGATTTAGTAACGATGCACAGTGAAGAATTAGCGTTGGACAGTTATTTTTGCGCCTGACCTAATTATATATTTATTTGTAGGAGTTTTCCTTTCAGACGCAAAATTTATGGGAGGAGAGTATTAAAACGAATCACACACACACGATTTACTAACGTTTGCGCTCATCAAATTACTGGTATTTGCGCCATTATTTAACGGCAAAAAAAACATGTCTTAAACTATTTTGCGCCTGTGTCGTAAGTAGATCACCGACACCTGATGAGCATTGGCTCTGCTTATTTGCGACTATGCTAATTTGTACTGCGCTTAGTATATTGCGTTGGTCAATATGTAAATGAGATGTTGCGTCTGTGTTCTTTCATTTGTGTACTGTCACTAAATCACCTGCAGAAATTTCCACGCCCATCGGCGCTGTTTTGGAATTCTGCTCTCGCGCTAGTTTAGTAAATCTGGCCCTAAATGTCTTAGTTTACAAATCATGCAAGTATTTTGTATAAGTGCTTTGTATCAGGGTGTAAATACTACTTTTGTGCTCCACTCAAATAAATTAACAGCAAATAGGTTTGAAAAAACAATTAAGATTAGTAAAAAATATTGGTCAACTGTTTCTTTAAAACACAACTGCAAGCCTACAAAATTGCACCA